GAACCATGGAAAGCCAAAGAGCCCTATGACTAAATATGGGATGGGGGGAAGACTATTACACTGCAGAATTACAGCTCTCCCCTTGTGGGTGGGGAAAGGCAGGGAAGCCTTTATTTGGCATTCTCACTGCTCAGTGAACTCACTGGCCTTCTGATGAGTGTGTGTTTTCCCCTGAGCTCTTTTTGGTATTCTGTGCATGCTGGATCCCTTTGGAGACAGTATTTGTCATTTGGCTGAGGTGATAGGGACTTCTAAGTATGCAGAAATCCAACTCTACCATTTCCTTCACAACTCTCAGCTTGCAGGTTTGACTCACAAAGCCTTCTGTTATCGTTTCCTGACAGGATAACTTAGAAAGACATCTTGAAAGCTATGCTAATATAGGTTATCTGATTTTATTATAGATCAGTTCTGTGAGGTATAAGCTTGCATTTAAAACCAAAAGCAACAAACCAGACAATGGAGCTGCTAAATCCACATCTTTCATTAGTGGGTAAGGGCTAGAAATGCCACGTAGCCAAGGGTCGATGGATTCTGTGAATCACAGCAGAGCTGAGAAGAGGCTGTTTGAGCCACAAATGGTGCTGTGAGGTACCTCCTGCTGTTTTGGGTACCACTGCTGGTCTTGGCACAGTTAAGATCAGTGCTTTTAAATAAGTGGATGTCCTTAAGTTTCACTGACTTTTGAGTTTGGGGGAGAGTTTAATTTTTGGAGGATGTTTTAGAAATGGAGTGGTTGATGTAGCAACAAGGAGAGAAAATTCTTTACTGGAAAAGAAAGAAAAAAGAAGCAAGGATGCATTTAAGGCTGACACGGTGAAAAAGATCATGTAGAAGTATGGTAAGTACAGTGCTGACTACAGTGAGGATCCTAATTATTCAGGCTGATGAACTGGCTTAAACTACACTCTGTCCTCTGTGAGAGTGTATTGAAAGCCCGCATTTGTTTCTATTATCCTAAGTCCTAATGAGAGCTCCATAGAAGTAATTGGATTTGCTATTGTTAGGATGGCAGCAGCACTATCAACCTGCTTAACTATTGTGTTTAGCTAATGTTGTGTTGTGATTACCATCTTTTGAGGGTGGTCTTTCTTCACCCACAACATTCTTCCCAGCAGGCAACTTCAACCAAGTCTGATTTCAACTTTCATTCCAGTTGGATTCCTGCCCCTCTTTAACCTTGTCAAAGCCAAACCAGAGTGCCTGACATACTGCACGGGTGGTTGCCTTCCGGAGAAGACTATTACAGATGCATTCCAGACTTGGACAAAGCATTCCTGTCTGACGAGATGTCTGAAAATTAAAAGTACAGTTTACAGAATTTTAAAGAAACTTTTAGGAACTATTGTTTAAAACAATTTGCTTTATTTCCTTGCTTGTAGTGGACTTGTTCCTTTTAACATTCTCTGGAAGCGTGAGAATGGCCACAAGTCACATGCCTCACCTGTAGCAAACACTGGCCTGGTGAGCTATGCAATAGCACTGAAACAAACATTTGGGTCCTCCAAAAAACAGGAATCATATCTGATTGGCGCAGCTGAAACGGTAATGAAACAGCTGAGAGAAACTTGGTATTGCAAAAGGAATTTACAAAGAACATACTCTCCAAATCTTTCTTTGGTACTATGAATTGAAAGCCAACGTTACACCATAAGCAGCTCCATATTGTTGAAACTATTGGTGAGTCTCTTTGTGTGCAAGAGCGAAATTGATAAGCAGGCAAATATCTGCTAAAATCGAACTATTTGTAGGAGCTACAAAATACTTCCATAACACTCCTCCCTGTGATTAACCAGGTCATCATTATTCCTTGCTAAATATGTATGGGTGGCTGCTGCAGGTTATTAACTCCACAGGTATTTAAATATCATACCTCCCTGAAATGCTGGAATTAGTGGGTTCTGTTAATCACAGTTCTGTGTAAAGATGTCAGAAGGCTTGATACTGACTTGGGAAAAATTGGAACTTCAACCCTAGTTTTCAGCTTCCACAAGAAGGATGTGTTTGATATAGTAGGATAAGCTGCAGATAAAATGTACCTTTTTGATGTGGTTGATTTATAACTGAAACTCCCAAACCCTGCAAAAGTTCATTTAGCTTTTGCCTTGATCTTTCTGAATATTTAGTATTGTTATTGGTTTTAATGGCATATACCTGAAATAACTGTTTAGAGACCTCATTCTTCAGAGACTATATAATACCCAATGGTACAATAACATCTAGAAATAGAAGACAACTGTAAAGGCTTTAGACAAACATATCTTGCTTTACTGTTGAGTTAATGAAGAGAGACATATGGAACTTCATGTTCTTAAAGGAATGTGTTGGACTGCAAATAGAAATGCAAAATGGAGAAATCCAAGCAGTTAATTTTCATACTACATTATGAGATTAGAAATATGCTGATCTGAATAGGAACTGTAAAAATGCATAATGCCTTTTGACAAAGATCATAAATCATGGGCTTTTCAAGGCTTTTAAAACAAATTCCATCCACATTGGTAGAGCTGTTTTAAAAATACTTATGTATGTTAGCTAATAGCTTGTTCTATGTTTTTTAAAATATGACTTACCTTCCCAAATTGTTCAAGTTATTTCAATAGCTTAATTTCATACTCAGTGTATAAAGAAACCCCCAATTTTGTAATGTAGTGGTTCTAAATTTATTGATACATAAAGTATAATGCTTTTAAAATCTGAGTGAAATTCTGAAGATAAAACCTGTGTATGCAGTGATATTGTGATAGTATCCACAAGACATTAAAACGGAATCCACAATACAGTAAAACAGAGATGTAAAAACAAGTTTTAATGTTTTTTTGCTCCTCTGGAATTAATAACGTGCATTGTTTTGATTTTATTTCTGCCTAAATTTTAAAACATTTTCTCATTAATTATCCTGGAAAGGTTACATAAATAGTTCTGACTCTAATAGCCCTACTTTTTCAGAATCCTGCATTGAGTAATACTTTCCTCTGAAACCTATTAGTTAAATATTACTCAGTATTAATAAAAATATAAAAGTTTTCTCCAGTGATTGTGCAGAACATCTTGCTTGACTGCAGACTGCTCACATGAGAAAGAGGCTTGCAGTGTTTGATTCCTTTTTCTGGAAGTTCCTTTTTCAGGAAGGAAAAGGATGGGTATCCTGAAAGCCTACTGAACAATTCCACTATATTCTTCTTTTTTTTCCTCAAAATAAAAAATTAAAAAAGGTTTTATGTGTGTTGTTGGAAAGGAGACAAAGTTTCTTAAAATGACTGTCTGTTTCTTTGGGAGTTCATGTGTGTAATAATACAATATTAACTTTAAAAATGAAGCTTTGCCGATGAAACAAGAATAAAACTCTTATTTTAGGGGTTGAAGAATATGAAGGAAAGAATGATTGAGTTAAATATCTATATGCATGAAGATGACATTTACAGACTATGATTTTTTTCCCAGAAGCATTTTACAAAAGCTCATATAACATAAGCTTGCAATTAAACATAGAAAAATAAGTGTGTATTAGTACATCTACTTCTCATAAAAATAAGAGAATAACAGAGTAAACATTGATTTTCCTGGTGTTACACACAAAGTCACTTGCAGAGTAATGAAAATAAACAAAACTATTAATTTCTTGTCCTTGGTTTTAGGCATGGAACCACAGCTTCTCTGATGTGAATGAAATCTGAGGTTAAAAGTGGCAAGTGACAGACAAAATGAAGAAAAGGTACATGTTATTTGTGTTTCAAGAGAATGAAGTCTCACTTCAGGGAAAATTTGTGTTGAAAAGATGTATTTTGTGATTGGCTTTCTCATTGGGCTCTTGGGGGACTGAGTTTGTGACACTGTGTTCAAAACAGTATTTGAGTTCCTGGACGTTGTGTTAAATAAAATAGTCCATAAGATTATTTGGGAATAAAATAGTCTAGAAGACTATCCTGCATTTGAGATAGAGATTTAAAAGACCATACCTGTTTTTCTGAACAAAAAGAGTCAAAATGTAACAGAACTATCTGCTGGCTAGAAAGAAAGAAATGCTTCATCTGGCAGGATTTATAAAATTAGTGACCCACCTCCACAATTTTATGTCCTCTCTTGCTCTACATCTAGGTTTATAAACACTTTTAGCTGAGCGATAGGATCTCAGACTCAGAAAAAGGAGTCAGGGAATGCTGTACTGGTGGCTTAAGCATGAACTAGAGCACCTATGTGAGTCTTTACTCTCAGTTATGTTACTTAATTTCTATCTTTGCTGTTAGATACCACCTATATTACATTTGTGGTTACAGTGATACAAATGTCTTGGGGAAGAATGGCTGGAGAGCTGCCTGGCAGAAAAGGACCTGGGGTGTTTGAGTGTTGGCTGAACATGAGCCAGCAGTGTGCCCAGGTGGCCAAGAAGTCCAACAGCTTCCTGGCCTCCATCAGAAACACTGTTGTGAGTAGGACTTGGGAGGTGGGTGATAGTCACCCTGTATTTGGCACTGGTGAGGCCCCACCTCAAGTACTGTGGCCAGTTTTGGGCCACTTACCACAAAAAAGACATTGAGGTGCTGGAGTGGGTCCAGAGACGAGCAACAAAGCTGGTGAGGGGTCTGGAGAGTAAGTCTTATGAGGAAAGGCTGAGAGAGCTGGGGTTGTTCAGCCTATAGGCCCGGAGGCTGAGGGGAGACCTTATTGCTCTCTACAACTACCTGAAAGGAGGTTGTAGAGAGGCAGGGGTTGGTCTCTTCTCCCAAGTCACAGGCGATAGGACAAGAGGAAATGGCCTCAAAAATTTTTTTTCACTGAGTGGGTTATTAAGCATTGGAATTGGTTTCCCAGAGAAGTGGTCGAGGCACCATCCCTGGAGGTATTTAAAAGATGAGTAGACATAGTGCTTAGAGACATGGTTTAGTGATTTTTTTTATAAGAGTTAGGTTGATGGTTGGGCTAGATGATCTTAAAGGTCCCTTTCAACCTAGATGATTCTATGATTCTACATTTTCCCCGACTCTCCATAGCCATCAAGCCTATCAGGTTGCCCTGGCTTAGATTAATACCCTAAATAGCTCCTGGCAGGATCATCAACAAGAACTCTGAAGTCTGATTCAACACCCGAACCCTCCTAATCCAGACGATCTCCCCTACTCCATCCTGGGTAAGTGCTACTGGTAGGTGCTACAGCCTGGTTGGTCTTTTTTTAGCTGTCCTCTCCAGATGAGTGATCTGCCTCTGTTTCCAGTTTGATTTAGTGGGTATTTAGGCACTCTCAGGCCTTAGGGTGAGATTTCTTTGACCTGTTTGGCAGTCACTGCATACACATTGTTTGACTTCTTCAGGGAGACTTCTGAAAGAGTTAAAAATTCAAGGAAATGGAGGTTTAGAGATTTTGTAACATTAAGCTTAACTTCACTGCAGCATGGATGCTGTTTCATTGATTATGTTGTTGTATATACATTAGCTAATATGTCCTGCCTTCCTTAGGTTTCTTAATACCTCAGAATGTATTTAGTCCAGAGTCTTGATAACCGAAAATATCCTTAGATTTAGGATTTACAAATTACATTGAAATAAGAATATAAATTGTTTAGGGGGAGAGAGGGTTTTCTCTGATATTCTGTGGCTGTAGTTTATGACTTCTCTACCTCTAAAGCTGATTTTAATATTTTTCATTAAATCTAGTATATTCTTTCTTCCCAAGAGCCCTGCCTCTTCATTATAACCATTTCCATCAATGACAAGATCAGAGAGCATTTTTAATGTTAAATAGGATAGAAGCGTAGAAATTAGTACTTAAAGGGTGAAACCATTAGTATTTCTGAGTGCTTCTATGTATTCATCACTGCCTGATACAGATCAGTATTAATAATGGGAGCAGCCAGACATAATCCATCTGCTGGATATTCCTTTTCTCTCTATGCAGTGACTGTCTTGTCTTTTTTCTCAGACACTGCCTGCTCCGGTCTCCAGACAGGAAATCCAGACATGGCCATTCATCAATGCTGCTATAATCTGTCTGATTTTATTAGCTTTTGAATTTTATCACCAAAATGAAAAGGAAGGGGGGGAAGGAGGATCCAGCAGTATGATTCTCCCATACCTATGCATTCTCCTCAGTACAGCAGATTGGGACCAGCCAAAAATTAAGAAGGGAAAAAGTACCTGGTAAATTCACTCCCCCCTTGTCTTTTATTTTTAAGAGCTTTATCTATTTTATTTTATTTCTTTTTCTACAGATATGTGTGATGTGCTGCAGTCAGGGTTTCTGGTTGATTGGTCTTTTTCCTTCATTTAAGATTTCATGGGTGCATATTGAATATTCCATGCTATTGTGAGACCTGTCTAGGATTGCATCTTTTTTTAGACACCAAACTCAAAGAGCAGTTTGAAATTGAGTTGTTTGGAGCTGCTGTATGGAGTGGGACATTCTGGTGCCAGTTGTCCCAGTTGGATAAATCCCAGTCGGAATAACTGGTTGAGGTAAGATATGTTAGACTTTGTAAAGAACACCCCTCGCACAAATGGAGAGAAAACAGGAGTGGACTAAAGTCTTTGATCTTTTCTGGCAAAGTGGTACAAACCATTTCAACCCAAGGCACGACAACAGGAAATCAGTGAAAGGGTTTGCCTATGGTAGTTGTATTTACTCCCCGTACCTGATTGCTGGTGAGGCAGAGAGGGTAAAACTTAGGTTGTGAGGAGATGTCTACCTTGGAGCTGTGTGGAAATGATTAGATTTTCTCAAAGAGAACAAGTTCTTTGCAGACTCCTGTATTTTTTCTGCCATGGCAGTCTAGCTGGAAGATGAGTGTGGTTTCATGGAAGTGCAGCGTGTGCATGAAATGAAGGAATTTCCTACTCATTGTGCTTTGCAGCACTGTACAGAAGTGAAGGAGTAGTTGCCTGAGTTGTCCTTATACCCTGTACTGGGCAGGAGAATAAATTTAAGAACTTTATGCTCCTGCATTATTTTCCTACTGGATTTTTAACACTTGTGAGCCATCTGCCGGGTTGTCTCTCTGAGTGTACGCATCAGAGAAAATGGTCCAGAGGTCCTGTGACACTTCACAGAGTCACAGAATGGTAGGGTTTGGAAGGGATATTTGGAGACCATTAAGTCCACCCCCGCTGCCAAAGCAGGTTCACCTAGAGAGGTTGGACAGGAATATATTGAGTCAGGTTTTCAATATCTCCAGAGAAGAAGACCATATTTGCTTCAGGTAGCCTAGACAGGTTTCTTTCTTCTTTGTACATAGGTCAGTAATGTATTGATCATTTTTATTACTCAACTGATTCTTTAGGAGTTTGTACATACTGATTTTATAAGAAATTCACAATCATTTTAATAAGATCTATATGTATTACTACAAGAAGACAACTTGAACTGCTCCTTCAGGGTTCCTTGAGTTACATCTAACTACAATTAACTATAATTAAGGCAATTAACACTTCATTGTCTCAGGCTTTTTCATGCATACCACAGATTTTGGGGCAGAGATTTTGCCGCATTTTTGAGTGCTGGTGCAAATGGTTATACATTCAGAAGCTCTCCTACAAATGACAATCTGGGATTTGGCAGAGTAGAATGTATGTATCAGCTATTTGTGATCTAAAGATTTCATTTTACTATAGAAAAATTATAGGCAGTTCTAGCTGAAGATGGATTTAAGTATTAGTCCATTTTCAGATGTATGCAGCTTTTAAGGAATGGTTATCTTTCTGGAAGAATCTTGAGAATTTTCATAGCTCCACAGCTCTATTTAAAGTATTTTCAGTAAATATGTATGCAATTGGTGTGAGAGAGAAAAGGTGCTCTTAGTATTTTCAGTGTCACTGCACATTGAAACAAATATCATTGTCTTTATTTCTTTGCATACAGAGGCATATAGAAGCATCTAGATAAATACAAATAAATAATTAGGCACTTCAATACATGTAAGTAATGAAGCCCATTGGATCTTTTGATATTATGCTACCTGTATGTAAAATGTAATCAAAAAAGCAATATTTGCCCTATTTTTCACTCAGTTTTAAAGGTAGGCCAACCAATCATACATGCCCCCAAATTTTGCATTGCCATTTATTTGTATGGCATTTAATAGATATCACTTGGCTGAATGAACACTGGTTTGAAACCATAGAGCAAACTGGAAAGCAAGGGACAATCCTTTGGTAAATGTTTACTCTGTGGAGCTGTCCATCTGTATCGTTTGTCAAGATGCTCACTCAAAGTCTTGATCTTTAGAAGCAACATAAGAGTAATAAATTAACTTTCAAGAACATATTTATTCAGTTCTCCCTCTGCAGAGTATTTGAGCACCAGCCCAGTACACATCTGCTCTTTCGCATGGAGATTAGAAATGAGAACATTATGGAACAGAATCTGGAAAAAGCATCAAATCGATGTCTTTGAAAAGAGGCAAGATTAATTTTGGAACTTCCTCGATTCCTTGATGAAATTATAGCATTTAAAAGTGGAATGATGTTAATGGTATTTTTCCAGAATTATATATAGCATTCTGTAGTTTTATAGCACAGAGCATTGCTATGTGATTTGCCTTTTTTAAAAAAATCACTTATTGTTATAGTGTTAAGTGCCATTACTGTGGTTTTACTCATTTTGCACTTGGGTGTGGTACAGAGAACAGAGCAGTAAGTGTTCTGTCAGTAGAGATAAAAGCAGCTTTTGCAGTGCTTGATGTGTCTGGCTTCTTGGTATGTCTGTAATTCTGTATAAAAATGTACACTGAAGCATCTGTAAAGAGTCTAAAGTGTAGTGGCATAGCATAAATCTACAAGCAGTGGAAATGTACATTTATATAAGTCTTGAATGACATGGAGCCTATGAGATAGAATTCTCTCTATATTTCCAGCTCCTCATTTCTGGAAACCCAAGAGCTTCTCCACTGCAGTTTACCAGAACTGGAAATACAGAAAGTACAGTTATTTGGAATATAAATCCTGATGAAGAGAATAAGGATTTATTTCAAAAAAGTATAGAGTTCAAAACTAAGTTGTTTTAGGTCCATAGCAGAGCCACCAATGACCTGTGTGGTAGAACCTTTTTATACAATGGTTTTGTCCTCAAAATACCCATGCAGAAAGCGGGAAACTCATAGTTGATCTTTTTGCCCTAAAGTGTTCAAAACCTACTCTCCTTTCAGGAGTCAACTCTAAACATCATGCTTCAATCTGTTTGCAGATCTTGCAACCTCCAACTATCTTCTTGAAGCTAAGAAAAGAAGGTACGATTCATGGGAGAGGAAGAAGAGAAGAGGAAGAAAGTAAGTGTTTGTGCCAAAGAGCACCTGGCTTTTATTTTCATTGTCTGCAAAGACCTCTATGGTTGAAGGGCAGTAGGCCTTGCTCCAAGGCCTGCTCCTTATAACTGAAGGAGCATCACTGCTCCAGCAGCTCTATTGTGAAAGAAAACAGTGCTTTCCAAGAAACTGAACCTATCCAGGATGTAAGAATTGTACTCTGAAAATGCCTACTTGTTATTCTGAATTAAGTAATTGGATAAAAGAGTAATTGTGTTACTGAAAAAGCTTTTAGAATGATAAAAATACATTACAGGATTACTAAAGGCTATTTGAAACAGTTATTGCCTAAATTATGGTTTTAAGCTATAAGTAAAGAGAGATGAAAGGTCAAGGTTTTACAGTGCACACCTTAGAAAACAGTTTTTAAAAAATATTATTGTTGTTTTTATTGTCTTTGTTTTAAGCTGATTTAAAAAGCCATTGAGGTCTCTTTATGGAAGAAGGTATTTGAAGCAATAGTAACTTCTAATCAAAGCAGATGGACAACGTCATATATGAGAAAGTGTGTAAGACTGATTAATAACTTGAATTGCATAGATAGATGGTTTCTCAAGGTATTGTTTCGATTTAAGAAACTGCCTGATTGTAGTGGTTTGACCTTGGCTGGCTGCCAGATGTCCACCCACCTGCTCTTTGATTCCCTTTCTTCAAAAGGACAGAGATAGAAAATAGGATGGAAAAGCTCATGGGTTGAGACAAAGACAAGGAAATCACTTGCCAGTTATTCTCACAGCAAAACACACTTGACTTGGGGAAAAAGAATTTAATTAATTTCCATTTAAAATAGATTTATATGGTGACAAGCAAAGACAGAAATTAAAACGCCTTCCCTCCCCTCTCTGATTATTTACCAGGCTCAGCCTCATTCCTTTGTTCCTGACTTCTCAATCTCCATCCCTCCTTGAGTGGCACAGGGTGGGTGGGGAATGGGAGTTATGGTCAATCCAGAACAGCTTCTCTCTGTTGCTCCTTCCCTCTCACACTTTTCCCTGCTCTAGTGTGGGTCTTCTCCACAGGCTGCAGTCCTGCAGCAAATATCCACCTTCTCTGGTGTGGGGTCTTCCATGGGCTGCAGTGTGGATACCTGCTCCACTGTGGTTTCTTCTGCAAGTGCAGGGGAATCTCTCTGCCCCAGCACCTTGAGCACCTCCTTCTCTCCTCCAGCCTTGGTGCCACAGGGCTGTTTCTCACACTTTTTCACCTCACCTGTGACTACCATGCAGCATTTTACTCTTTTTAAAATACATTCACCCAGATTTGCCATCATCTTGGCTGAGGGGTTGAGCCCTGCTTTGGAGTGGGTCGATTGGAGCCATCTGGAACCAGCCATGTCTGCCATGGGGCAGCCCCCCCAACTCCTCACAAAGGCTGCCCATAGTCCCAGCATCCAAGGCAGTGGTAATCAAGAAAGAATAGCACAGATACATCACAGAAAGAAGAAGAAAGTGAGGACACAGCAATATAAGAATACATATTTATAGAATCATAGAGTCACAGTATCACTGGGGTTGCCAGGCAGATTTTTTCTTTTTTTTTTTTTTTGTGGGAAACTCCTTGATGACATAAAGTTGGTGGAGTGACGTTCTTCCACCAGGAATCTAACCTGCAGCAATTCAATAAAATCTCAGAGTTTAGAAATGAGTGAGAGTGAAAATTAATTCATTGATATGGCCATCTGGTAATTTCTATTGTATATATTTTGTGTTTTGTGGCAGATAATCAAACACCCACCAGTTTCTGTCCTGGAGAGATGAAGTCATGCACCCACCATCTAGAGCACCCCACTTCCACTGTGGAGGTAAGGTCCTCTACAGAGTGTTTGGCTCTCTGCCCATGCATGCTGTACATCTAGAATCAACAACTGGAAGAAACTTCTTTTCTGGTTAACGTGTAGTGTGGACATAAGGGTCTAGAACCAGTGGATAGCAGCAAATCAACCTCCAAGCCTACTACTCTCTTTGTGCCACTCCAAAAGGTAATGGACACACATTGGGTCCAACATTTCTTAGTGAAGTCCTGCTGCTAAACAAAGAGCGCACATGGAGTTCTCTTTCTGCTGAGGCAGTAGGAACAAAGAGAAAAAAAATATTTGTAGTCAGAAATCCCAATCCCAACATGCATCTTTATTTCTATCCTTTCCCAAACTCATTCTACAAAATTATGGTCTAGTATTTCTTGGGTTTTCTGGTTGCTTTTTGATGCCTACATGCATAATCAGAGTCCTCATCTCCTTTTTAGGTCTTCCTTCTGGAAATTTTTCAGCTTGAATGACTTATTTTTTGCTTAAGGCTGTGTTAACAGGGAGATGGCTTTCTTTGTTTCAAGCTAGCTTGCTTAACAAAGGAATATAATTGCTTTGACCTACATACATGCCAGTCAGAGTTTAGACATATAAGAAATTCTGACTGAAAAGAAATCAACAGAGAGTAACTCCGGATGATTTAAAATAAGAGGGGTAGAAATGAAGCATACAAATGGGCTGCTTCACCTCCTTGAAACATGATTATTTACTTGTCAAACTGCAAGAAAACATGATTCTTAGTTTAAGGACAGAGGAAAAAGATATAGCAAAGAATTTTGTCTATATTCCAGCTGCAGACTCCTCTAGTTAGCTCTTATTTACTGACTTCTTACTCATCAAAATGGTATCTATAGGGCCATTACACCAGACTTGAATAATTCCATCTACTCCCAAAATGCAACAAAATATGTTACAGGGAACATACATGCATTGTAGCTGCATTGTTTCAGGAGATAAGTTCAAATAGGCATCTGCTTCATCCCCTGCTATATCATTCACGGTTTTCCTTCACTAATTTTAGATCTTATGTTAATTATAAGCAGGAATTTGTCAATAAATTTATTTTATTTCCCTGGCAGAGCTACTCCAAACAATGTTTTACAGATTTTCCTTAACATAGAATCATAGAATGTTTTGGGTTTGAAGGGACCTTTAAAGATCACCTAGTACAACCCCTCCAAAGAGCTCAAAGCTCCACCCAACCTAGCCTTGAACGCTTCCGACAATCGAGTATCCACAGTTTCTCTGGGTAGTCTGTTCCAGTATCTCACCACCCTCATCGTAAAAAATGTCTTCCTTATGTCCAGTCTAAACATACCCCCACTCAGTTTAGAGCCATTGCCCCTTATCCTACCAGGACCTACCAGGTCCTCATAAAGGTCTTTCTCTGTTTTTTTCATAAACCCACTTTATATATTGAAAGACTGCAGTAAGGTCTCCCCAGAGCCTTCACTTCTCTTCCGGCTAAACAACCAGCCTTTCTTCATAGGAGAGGTGTTCCAGCCCTCTGACCATTTTCATGTCCCTCCTCTGGAGCTGCTCTAACAGGTCCATGATTTTCTTGTACCAGGGACCCCAGAGCTGGATGCACTACTCCAGATGGGGTCCCACAAGAGCAGAGTAGAGGGGTAGAATCACCTCCCTTGATCTGCTGACCATGCTTCTTTTGAAGTAGCCCAGGATGTGGTTGGCTTTCTGGGCTGCAGGCCCACATTACAAATTGTTAATTTATCAATATCCCCAAATCCTTCTTGGTAGGGCTGCTCTCAATCTGTTCATTCCTCAATCTGTACTGGTTTTGGGGATTGCCCCGATCCAGGTGCAGGACCTTGTATTTGGCCTTGTTGAACTTCCTGATGTTCAGATGGGTTCAGGTCCTCAAGCCTCTTAAGGGTCCTTTTGGATGGCATCCCTTCCCTCAAGTGCATTGACTGTACCACTCAGTTTGGTGTAATCTGTAAACTTGCTGAGGGTGAACTCAATCCCACTGTCTATGTCGTTGAGGAAGATATTAAATAGTATCAGTCCCAACACGGACCCTTGAAATACACTACTCGTTACTAGTTCCCACTTGGTCATTGAGCCACTGACTATAATTCTTTGGATGTGGCTACCCACCCCTGATGTTCAGATGGGTCCAGGTCCTCAAGCCTCTTAAGGGTCCTTTTGGATGGCATCCCTTCCCTCAAGTGCATTGACTGTACCACTCAGTTTGGTGTAATCTGTAAACTTGCTGAGGGTGAACTCAATCCCACTGTCTATGTCGTTGAGGAAGATATTAAATAGTATCAGTCCCAACACGGACCCTTGAAATACACTACTCGTTACTAGTTCCCACTTGGTCATTGAGCCACTGACTATAATTCTTTGGATGTGGCTACCCACCCAAGTCCTTATCTATCTAATGGTCCATCAAACCCATATCTCTCCAATTTAACACCAAAAACTTCGTGGGGGACTGTGTCAAAGGCCTTACAGTAGCCCAGGTAGATGACATCCATAGCTCTTCCCTTGTCCACTGATGCAGTCACTCCATTGTATAAGGCCACAAGATTAGTCAAGCACCCTACCTAGCTTATCCCACTTAGCTATTGGGTAATGTTGATTTATTATGATTTTTTTTCTCTGTATGGGTAAAACTAAATGTTAAAATACAGGATTTTCTGTGGGTTGTCATTTTCCATGTCTTAGACGTAGAAACAGTTACTACTTTTCCTGTGAAAATTCTATTGTGTGTGTATTAATCTGAGGTGAAAAAGTCACCTCTAGGCTTCAGGCAAGTCTTTGGAACAAACAGAGGTATAATTATATGACAGGCAAATACCCCTGCTCTGACTTTAATCTCATCAGCATACAGATTGTTTGGTGCTTTGCCTTGAATGTAGGCCAGCGGCCAGCAAGGGTATCTCTCTCGCTAAAGCCTGTGCTGGCAACTTTTCATTACTGTTATCTTGTGGTAGTAAACCTAAACTTGGAGAAGATAAGTCTTCCTATATTCAAATGCAGCCTCATCTGCAATGCAGATAAACCTTAGCTGCAGTATCCATAGCTCTTCCCTTGTCCACTGATGCAGTCACTCCATTGTATAAGGCCACAAGATTAGTCAAGCACCCTACCTAGCTTATCCCACTTAGCTATTGGGTAATGTTGATTTATTATGATTTTTTTTCTCTGTATGGGTAAAACTAAATGTTAAAATACAGGATTTTCTGTGGGTTGTCATTTTCCATGTCTTAGACGTAGAAACAGTTACTACTTTTCCTGTGAAAATTCTATTGTGTGTGTATTAATCTGAGGTGAAAAAGTCACCTCTAGGCTTCAGGCAAGTCTTTGGAACAAACAGAGGTATAATTATATGACAGGCAAATACCCCTGCTCTGACTTTAATCTCATCAGCATACAGATTGTTTGGTGCTTTGCCTTGAATGTAGGCCAGCGGCCAGCAAGGGTATCTCTCTCGCTAAAGCCTGTGCTGGCAACTTTTCATTACTGTTATCTTGTGGTAGTAAACCTAAACTTGGAGAAGATAAGTCTTCCTATATTCAAATGCAGCCTCATCTGCAATGCAGATAAACCTTAGCTGGGAGACATTAATTTCTCCTAATGTGCTCTCTGAGAGTCAGCTGCCTCATCTAAACTTGTTGTCTCAGCTCCCCCAGTAGTCAGTGGAGATGTAATTGGTACCTCCCCAGGGTGATTCACCCTACTGGGCTTAGGACATCCAACCTAGGAAGGAACTCAGTCTCCAGAGGGATCAGTCTCTCTCTCAAACCTTTTAAATCACATTGAGAGAGTTCCACCTTTGATATCAATGAACTGATCATACTAAAGCTGATTTTTTTGGGGTATCTTTGGGGAGTTCACTGGGCATTGAGGAAGCTTTCTGGCTGTTTATGAACAAGTATGCTTTATGCCTTTCATCAGTTTTCATTGCCATTTTTTAGTCAATTGAGGGTACCTTTGTGTACCTTTCATGTAGCACCAGTCTTTCTTTGCCTTGGGTCTTCTCAGAGAGAAGGAGATCTTGTTATTACAAACCCTTTTTACCCTTGGTTAACAGCCTAGAATATTGTTTAAAGTGAAGTGCATAGATTGAAATTTGTATTAACTATCATAAGTCTTTGTCATTTTTCTTCTCTCTAATTTTGAGACTTATTAAAATGTAGATGACAATATTGGAAATGAATCATGCCTAATGCATTTTTATTATTACTGTGAGCTCTAAAACACTGAATAAAATCATAATCCAAGTAATCGAAATACAGAAAAACAGAGTAAATTCTTATTATATGCACTCCTGAGTAGTCGAAGGATGGATTAACTAGCTCTTATTTGCTATAATGTTATTCACTTGCGTGAGTCCTTGTTTGTAATACTGAGATCATTGTAAATAAATTGATTGTTAATATGAACTTTCCATGGTCAATATCTTATTTTAAAACAGCTCTCTGGTGGCAAATGCAGAGAATGGACAACAGACGAGTAAAATTAAGGAGTCAGATTCATGCATTGTTCATGGAGGGGATGTATTATAAATGACCTTAACTCATGGTCAATTAGTTTTTTGTTTCAGTAATTATTATAGGAATAATCACCTTCATAAATTTGACAATGTCTATTTTTAGAGAATAAAGTATATGAATTCATTTTTCAGTACATGCCATACAGAAAAAAAATAATAAATAAACTGGGGTAATTTGGATCTATTGTGAATCCAACCAGTAAGTCAAAAATGCACTAATACAGATAGGTATTGTGTTTATTTCTGGAAAGCACTTAATAATGTTTATTCTACCTGGCTATGACAATATGGTACTAAGCCTTTTTAAATTGCTAAATGTGAGTTAGTAGGTTAGTCTTACAGGGATACTTAATGTAAACATGCTAAATATCTTATTGAGTAAACATTTGGTAATAAATCAGCTCATTTTCTATGGATGTCTCTTCACTGAATTCTGTAGTTTAGTAACTATGGTTATGTAAAAGTCAACAGTGGTTTAAGTCATGCTCTGCCTTCATGTCACTATTTATACAGTAGATGAGACTTTCTCAGCAAATAAAGACCCTGAGTGAGCTTTAGTTTAAGAAAGAAGCAAAACTGTTATTGACTTCAGTCAGGAGCAGGATTTTGGTTTTGCATTTTTCCAGAGGCTCCTGTCGATCCAGTACCTGAGCCTTTGGATGCTGAGAGTTTCAGATCACTCTGAGATTAATGTGACCAAACAGCATTGGGGATCTAGTAGAACCAGTCCCCAACTACCAAGGTATCCCAAGGTATCCCCAACAGGCATCACAAAACCTTGCTTTGTGCTGTGTGTATCTGAAATGAAATGCAGAATTCCCAGCAGATCATAGGAAGATGCTATGTTGGAGACAAAAGAAGAGGCAAACTGAAGACTGTTTTGGTTTTCACCCTGTTTATTCAGAACACGTTAATGGGGGATGGGAGGTTAAGTGGTCAGCTGCTAAGAGAAATAAGTGAGGAAAACAATCCAGGAAAGGAAAAGTAAGGAAAGTAGAAGTGGTTGGTTGAGTGAGAGAGAGGTGATTGCAAGAAAAGAGAGACAATGGAGTGAGGAAGTCAGTAACTCATATCATGTACTTCAAATAAAAAATGGAGAAGTAGTAACTGAAGTAAAAGTACTACGTCTGTTAGCACCTGTCGGAGAATACTGTTTCATGACCACTTTCACCAAAACTAAGTTGTAATTCATTTGGCAATGGAGACACAGAACTACTTTGGGTTTTGTTAGCAAGCCCATATACTGATGCAACCACTGAAAAAATTAATCTCAAAAGGAAATTACCTTGCCTTTTTCGATGTGTATCACATCAGGTTAGCATGTTCTTCCTGAGAATCTCCAGTGGTCTATACCGTTTCCTCAGCTGGATCTTCTAGCTCTGATGTGGCCAGGGTAAACGCTAGGGAATGCTCCTACTTTCCAGGAATGATACTGGTACTCTGAAGACATACAATCTATGTTGACAGGTTGGCAAATTCACAAAAAAAAAACAAAAAACAAAAAACCAAACAAAGCTGCGTTTTAGGTGATGGAAACTGAGCAAAATCTTATTACTCCTTAATCAGAAGAATTAAGTAACAATTTTGAGTAAAAATTAGTTTATGGTTCATGTGAATATCTATTTCTTCTTTATTGATGATTGCCTCTTCACTGTAGTCTTAAAAGGTCAGGGTTGAAAAAGGGCAAGATGGTAAGGTCATCATATCTTCCAGCAGATGAAATATGCATAGCTTGGCTGGCCTTTGCCCTGCAAATATAGAGAAGTTTAAAAAATGTCAACATTAAGTATAACAAATACTATTGATTCTTCTTGTTAGATGAACCATCTGCCTTTTTGATGCTAGGATGAATTATGACTACTGCTTGCCAGTAGCATTGGTGGTATTTGTTTTTTTTTTCTCCTGACTGCTCAAAATTTGTCCTCATTGAAAGTTTGCATTCCTGGAGCACTAGAGGTTTCTGTAGCCTTGTGACATGGACATACCATCTGTCTTTGCTGGTGGTAAAGGTTACTGCCCTCAGCTCCTTGTTTCGCTGTCAAAGATGATTGCCCTCTTAGATCTGCCCTGCACACGGCTCACGTGAACACTCTCTAACCTTTTCCAAGAAAAATGAACTAGGCTAGCTTAAATAGTTTAAAACAATTGTTATGCTGGGCTGTCTTCTTTTTTGATGTGTGATTGCAACCTTTTGATGAATGCTGTTTGCATGGTCTCATGTGCCTGTGGAAGGGGACAATCACAGGCATACTTTACTCTTCACCCAGAATTTAGCTGGCTTGTTTCCTATAAAAAGAGTACATTAATATAAGTTCTGGCAATGTACTTTATCTCTGCTATGGTGTTTGGAATCTTTCCCTTCGCAAAAGATGCACTGATGCACCTACAGCTTTGCACGACATACATTTCCATTTTATAATTACTGAGTCAATCAACTGTAACTCAGGTAAAGTATAAGCTTTCTTCCGAAGTGCATGGGCTTTATGCATTCAGAAGATCACAACATGATTTATAACACTGAATTACTGTAACTTGCTCAAAATCAGTTTGAGAGAGTAAACAGATTGTTTGCTACCTCTTATTAGCACTGTGGTCAGTAGTGTCATAACAAAATAGTCTGGGTGTGTATAATGATGCCACAGTGGTATAATGAATACAGCAAACATACATAGAAAATTTTATCAAATAAGGAATTTATGGAAATTTTTTCTAAAACAGTTTTCAGTCTGCCGTGAGGAATTAAATTGTTCTGACTTGCTGTGCTTAGAGAAATGCTCATACTTTCTCACTGCTCTCTACTGAAGTATTGAAGTGGAAAAATGAATTGAACTGTCACAGATTTTGGAGCACTTCTGTATTTGGGATATGCCAGGGTGTTTAAGCAATCTCTCTAAGTTGAGGACTAGGCTACTGCTGGACTTCTCTTACAACTATAATTTTCTATTTATCTCAAGTTTATAACTCTAATTTTAACCAAGCTGTGAGTCAATGCTACATTTGCTGTAGACTTGTTGGCTCAGGCATTCTTAATGTTTTATAGCCTATTCAAAAATGTTAACTGTTACAGAATTTTATAATTTATGAATGCAGTAATTTTAAGGAAGAAATATTTCATTGAAATAATTCAAATGATCTGAAATACTTCCTCTTCTGTCAAATTCCTTCCTCCTGTCTGAACATCAAATCCCTATGACACTAGACTAATGAAACTGAAACTTTTGCCTTTGTCTAGGTTTATGTGAAATCTTGGAGAAATGTAAAGGAAAAGAGCTTTACAGAAGAAACTTCACAATGCCTAAAAAGATAATAACTGTTGTTTACCCTAGCCTACAGGTTACATGCCTATATCAACATTTTTTCCAGCTAATGACCTTTGGCTTCATAATATCTTTTTATTCTTAGGAGAATTAGTTTACAAAATCTATTTTCATAAGTTGATTTCATTGGAGATACTATCATATTCCTGCAATGAAAAGTCATCATCACACCACCTTCCTATATCCTCTTATGCACCAGTGGTTATTATAAAGTTGTGGTTTTTTCCTAGTACTAGATCACTCTAGAAGAGGAGACTTGCATGATAAATTGTACTTAGATCATGGAATTGTCAGAGTTGGAAGGGACCTCTAGAGATCATCTAGTCCAACTCCTCTGCCAAAGCAGGATTGCCTACAGCACATTACTCAGGACTGCATCCAGGTGGGTCTTGAAAATCTCCAGAGAAGGGGACTCCACAACCTCCCTGGGCAGCCTGTTCCAGGGCTCTGTCACCCTCACTGTAAAGAAGACTTTCCTCATATTTGAATGGAACTTCCTATGTTCCAGCTTGATGATACAGGTATTATTAATCAATTAAAAACATGAGCATGGGTTTGTCTTTGATTGGTTATTTTTAACACATAAAACTCAAGAAATGTTTGAGTTGTCTCATAGATTGGGAGAAATGCATGAGAAATCACTGGGTTCTAAAAACAGTCCTGTAAAGTGATTGACACAATAGAATGTTGTCCAGAGGCAGCAATAGAGGTTGCCCAGAGAAGCTGTGGATGCCCCATCCCTGGAAGTGTTCAAGACCAGGTTGGATGGGGCTTTGAGCAACCTGGTCTGGTGGGAGGTGTCTCTGCCCATGGCAGGGAGGTTGAAACTCGATGACCTGTAAGGTCCCCTCCAACCCAAACCATTCTATGATTCTAATGGCAGAGTAGAAGTGAAGATATAGTTAGTTGTGCAGCGCTTCCAAGTCAGTCAGGAAATGGCTATAATTATTTTCATATATAGTCAACCCCCTCCAACTTCTAGGAAGAGATAAATTAAAAAAAATTACAGCAAAGAATAGAAAATTATTTTTGTAAGACAAAAAGAATAGAGTAGCCCTTCAAAATGCTCTAGTCCCAATTTTCTGTAAGTGTTGCTTGAAGTTATTATTATCATGAACGAAAGTACAAATGCTAGCTGAATTACCATGTTGTACATCAGTTGGAATCTTCAGTGTCTACTTAGGAGACACTTTTATTAGATTAACAAACCCCTTAGCAATATGTATGCAAACTTTTACAATATTTTCTTTTGTATTTTTTGTGATTTTTCTTACACTTCCTGATGAACTTTTGTAGGTAGATGTACCTGAAACTAGAGTAGTTTTAAAATATGCTTGATTTCTATGAAAAAAATCTACAAGATTTCATATTTGTCAATGTTTGTACAAGTATATAAAAAGTAGCTGAGGTGTCCTGACTCTCAGATTCTGGTCCAGTGGCAGTGTAGGATCTTCCTGGATGAAGGCCTTTGAAGGCCACGGCCATCCTGTGACAAAGGGTTCCAAAAATTATCCTGGTTCCATGTGGAAAAAGATATATCTTTTATTGCATGTCTCTTAGTCCAAGAAATAATAAGTTTTGCTTTTCCCTAAATGACAAGTATCATACAGCTAACATTCATAAATTCAATGTTAAGAGAGCTCTGGGCCAGAATTTAGATAGATATTTACACAAGCCTTTCTGAAATCTTTTTCTGAAGATAAAAGTATAGTTTGTATTTTTACACTCTGTCCAGGAGGATTGGGTTAGGTACTATGTATGCTGGCTCTCACATATTACCCGAACTATCTATGTGATTTTGAAAAGCTCCAATTGTTGGAACCAGAAAAGCTACCAACTGCTGTTCCATTTACACTTTTGCAGACTTTGATTTAGCCTCAAGTTTGAATGCTCTGACTGGTAAATTTACAATTTTTATATATATATATTTTTTTAACAGGTTCCGTCTCCATCTTCCTTCATGAGATCACTGCCCTGAGTGTAAGTATGTGGGGAGGTTTGTACAGCCACACAATAGAGAAACGCAGATTCTGGGACTCTTCCATTCTCACTGAGCTTCTATGGCAGGGACTCTACATATCCATATGTAGTCCTCATTTTGCTGCCACCTTTGAAGTCTCCATAGAGGCTGCAAGAACTGAGGCAGCCAATCTGCTTTAGGGAATGCTGCCCTTTGTAGTCCAGAGCTAGAGGCAGGGCATGTTGGAGGATATACATGAGCGCTCCAAGGCTTGACAATATGTGCAGTTTCCACTGCGATCCTAGGTTACTAGCAAATAGGTGAAGTGTGCCAGTTGTTGTGTCACAACTGACTGTTGTGCCAGTCCTCTTCCTTTCTTTGATCCCAACTAATATAGAGAACTCATCCAATCAGTATTCTGCTAATCACATGGCCATGACCAACAAAGTTTATGTCAGGTGCATAGACATCCTTCTTTCTGCTAGCCACTAAAAGCAGGAGAAGCAAGTAAGCAAACAGAAAGTTTTTCTGTACATTACTATTTAGTGAGAGACCAGGTACAGAAGTGGGAGTGCAGGGGGTAATCTGTTTTAGCCAACTGAGTGATTTTCACCTCTCAGCAATACCTATTAGGATCACCTGAATTTACTAGCTGAAAATGGTTTTAAGACTTTTAAGAGAATCAATGAATTAGGAATAAACTTTGGTCCTGGTAAAATTGTTGTGTTTTATTTATTAATTTCTGTTCAAAGTGCCACGTATTTAGATTTTCTTAAATAATTCTGAGCCATGTGACTGGGTAGTCCCATTTAAGTCAACAGAGCTGCTCATGGGACAAACTGAAGTGCCTTCCTGTTTAGAGTAGAATTTTAATGTACTTAGTCAAGAGTCTTTTTATTGGTTATGTTAGTAATCTTCCTTGATAATTTGAAAATATTAGCTTTTACTATTGTTAAATATTGTTAAATATATGATTTTGCTCATGAAAGGATTAAGGTTGACATATTGCACTTTGACGCCTTGCTGAAGCTGTTAGAAAAGAACTTGCTAATAACTCAGCATCTATTTGCTATGCCAGAAACATCAGCAATTATTTTGTCTGCTCTAGAGTCTGACTTGAAGGAATCATAACTTTAACACAGAGGTTCAATTTTTTTCACTGAGCAATTTTCTTTAATAATCTCTTGTCATTTTTATAGTATAATGTTGTATAATTGATGTTTATAATTTTGTCAAGAAGCCTCAGTATTTTCATAATGGATTTATTATGTATTTTAATAACTAGGCATAAGTAACTGTAGAGCTCAACTAACATGCTATGATGCAAGTCTTAAACACTGCAGTGCCTGCAGTTACCCTGAAAGCTGAAAGTTTTTAAGTGATCTAATTCCTTTAAAACATATTTTAGTAGCAACTGAAGTCAGGATGTGACCATTTATTAAGGTAATATTTTAAGTGATATGATGATTTTTGGTCAGGCATGATGGTGATAGAAGGTGAATGATTACAGAGTTTGTCATCTGTGAATTTAGTATCTTTGGAACAGTAGTGACATTATGGTTGCATGCAACTCAGGTCCAAAACAAAGACCCCTATCCAGGTTTGCTTATCTCATGGAATCACAATAGCCTGTCATATATAGGCTCCTAAATGACTATACACAGGGAGCAATAGTGGGAATCGTCCTTTGCTCTGTAGGCAGTTTTAAGGGGCTAGGATGTACAGGACCATTGTTGAAGGTGTTTTGGGGTTATTATGCAACAACAAAGGACTGTGGGCACTGAATATCTTATGACCCTATAAATGACTTCCCCCAAATACCAATGAAGATAAGCAAAATCTATCTACCTAAAGTTTCAAACAGATGGACCATAATGTTCTCCACTTTCAGTCCTATTAGAGTTGAATAATATTTCTGAATCCTGTTATGTGTTTGCCAAGAACCATGTCACAGCAAGGATTGTTAGGTGAGATTATTTACTAACAAAAAAAGGTCTTTTAAAGTACCATAGAGTTATTTTGGGTGAAAGATGCTATAAATACAAATCAGTATCATTAATTGCAGTGATTCAAATTTTTCCGTTGTTTCCATAAATTCTTTTGGTGTTGCTCTTGGGGTGTGTGGGTGCGTTTTTTGGTGAGGGCTGTGGTAGAGAGAGGGGAGATAGAGAGAAAGGAAATGGCTTCCTTCAAGAGATCTGAAAATACCTGCTGTGTAGAAAATATGTTTGTAGCTGTTGAAAGGTACCTTTGCTAAATAAATGATGTCCTCTTTTCTCCAAGTTTTTCAGCAGGGGAGAATGGCTTTAGTATTTGGTGACTGGTTTTAGAATAATGTTGAGGGGCTGTAATCTTGCAGAAAAATACAGCTACTTTGAATGGACAGACATGTGGAATAAATGGCTTATAGATAATCCCCTGTGAATAGACGTGGCATGTCTAAGGCTGGTTATGGATCTGCTATGTTAATTGGTGAGAATGAAGTCGAGTTCTCCAGGAATAAATCAGAGCTGTCAAACAGTATCTAAAATGATAGTCATTTCCTGGTTGGCACAGATAATAATGCTAATGGTTGTCAGTGGAATCTTTGTACAAAGATATTACATTTCCCAACTATTTTATCTCTTAGTAATGTCCTTATTTTCTTTTCACTGGTTACAATCTTGAAAGATACACACTATTAACCCTCAGCTATTCACAACAGAATCCACTACCAGACTCCACTAGTCAGCTATGAATAAACTGATGACTCTTTCTGGACTGGTTGCTTTCTCAACAATTTAAGAGCATGTATTCTGAAGTGGAGTCAAGCTGAACCAGTTTAAAACCAGCTTACACTTCACAGCTTTTCTTGGAAGCTGTTTTCCCGAGCTATTTCTTCCCTTTTTTGGAGGTGAGTTTTGAAGACCTCAGTCCCATTGACATGGCATAAAATTATAGTTCAAGTGAAGCATAAACTCCATAGGAAAGTGTAGGTGAGCTTACACTTTATTCGGGATAAAATATAAAATGATACTTTTTTTTTTTTGTCCATCACTGTTATTTGTTATTAAAAACTTCAGGTTGGGTTTTCCTTATTTATCAGGAAATATTTTAATTTCCTTATTTATTTCCTTATTTTGTTTTACTAAGAAAGCATTTTCTAACATTAATTCTTCACAGCCTTATTTGTTCATTTGATAGTTTTGCACTTTTGCACAAGTTGTGAATAGAAATTTGTGTCTATTGACTGCAACCCTGGGTAGAGCATCAGAAAAAGCTCAAAAGGATTGAGGAAGAGATTTCTCATGGATTTTAATGGGACCTGACCTCTTATAGCTTTAAAGATTTTCCTAAATCCCTTTTTACCTCTTGTAATGTGTTTGAGACTGTGGATTCCTTTTGCTCTTTGTCATCTGCTGTAACTTGACCTATGCTATTTTATGATTACTAGCACTCCGGCAGGCTTGGGATAATAAAAACAGATTTGGAAAAAAAATCCAACTTTAGAATTGGGTAAGAATTCAGATTTTTTTTTTTTAACTTATTTACTTAATTACCTCAAATTTGATGTTGATATCTCAAATGTATCTGAAATGCAGCCATATAAAATTCAAAAATGTCTTCAGTAATCTAAAATATGTTAACTGATTGGGAAAGAAGGGAACTAGAGTGAACCTTTATCTCTTTTGCGTAAGGCCTCCATACTAGGCTGGCTTAAATGGAAATAATGTGATTTATATAACCAGCTGCTCAATGTGAGTAGAAGATAACAGAGTTATAGATTAAAGGTTTGACTTTGTATGTCTCCATTTTTAGACTTCCTTAATGGCTAAATTTCCAGACAATAAAAACTCAGCAGTCTCTTAAACAAGCAAATATAAAAAAACAACACTTGACTAGGAACAGTAATTTGCTAGCCATCTGTGTATGGAAATGTGATGCAAACCTACTTAAGACAGAGAATTTATGATTAAGATTCCACATGCATACTGCATCCTACATGCTTAACTGTGTCCAGCTCTGGAGCACTCAGCACAGGAAAGACATGGACCTGTTGGAGCGGGTCTAGAGAAGGTCTGCAAAAAGAATCAGAGGGATGGAACACCTCTCCTATGAAGACAGGCTGAGGTACTTGGGGTTGTTCAGCCTGGAGAAGAGCAGGCTCCAGGAAGGCCTTCTTGTGATTGTTTGGTACTTAAGGGGGGTCTACAGGAAAGATGGGGACAAACTTATTAGCAGGGTCTGTGGCGATAGGACAAGGGATAATGGCTTTAAACTAAAAGACAGAAGATTTAGACCAGATATAAGGAAGATATTTTGACTATGAGGGTGGTGAAACACTGGAGCAGGTTTCCCAGGGAGGTGGTAGATGCCCCACCCCTGGGGACATTCAAGGTCAGGCTTGACAGGGCTCTCTCTGAGCAACCTCACCTAGTTGGAGATGTTCCTGCTTATTGCAGGGGAGGTTAGACTAGATGACCTTTAAAGGTGCCTTCCAAACCAAACTATTCTATGATTCTATGATACCTGTAGGAGCCTACGTGTAAACAAGGTATTAAAACTCCCATTACATTTAGTGGAGACCAGATCACAGCTGCCTACTGCCATTTGAACCACCAAAGACATGTTCAGATGTTACATGAGAGAAGCTGCACTCTTGTGGAGTGACTGTTAGAGGGCAAGCAGAATAACTTAGACCATCTAGATGGAGCTGTACTCCCATGTCTGGGTGACTGAATTTATTACCGAGTCAGTATGGTACAAAGGGAGACAACGAATTGCTCAGCTCACCCCAAAATAGATCTTTGACTGTTACATTATGCTGTGTTTATATACCACTCAGTAAAATGGGCTTTTTGACCTCTACAGGGGTACTACATGCTAATAATACTGATACTGTATTAAGAACGTCAAATGCAGTGCTTTGTAGACTAGTGCGTTACGACAATAAATGTGTGACTCACTCTGGTACTGTTGTAAAGGAGCCTGCTTAAATACCTAAGTGTAGCAGATGATTTGCAAAAA